TCATGTAGGTATTTTTGCATTCCCACAAAATTGACACTATTACTGTATGACATATTGCAACTCTGGTTGTACTTGCCGTTCCACATCTAAGAAGAAAGTATATCGTTGATGCACTCGTGAAATCTGGTTAAGAGGGATAAAGAATAATTAGAACTGGCGGAATAATTTATAACTTAGCGGAAATTTAACCTGATGGCAAGATATATGTGCGACTTAATTGAAATAATTAATTTAACCCTTCTATTTTTTGGGGGGGGGAATTCGAATCGGAGGAGGATTCTAAATTTTAGATGTTCTCATGATTCTGGTCTAATTACATGAAATTTTTAAATCACTAGTAATGACAAACACGAGTGGATAGTTTCGACTTATGAGCAAATGATTTATTGGGCTTATCTTCGAGTATATCATTCTTTTGTTAAAGACCATTTGATAACAAATATTATTGTGGACGTCGAATATAAATTAATATAATACAATAGTTATATCAAGTGTCTCCACCAAATTCTTCTGAGAAACAATAACAAGTCAATAAAGTGAAAACAAAACAGACAAAAATCCACACTTAGTGGGAAAGGAAGTGATCGAGCAATTACAACCAGGAGGTGGGCTTGGAAGGAGCCATCCTTTGAAGAAAGCGTAATAGCTCACTGGTCTAGCTTCATCGGCCGACTTTCTCTTTCCAGATATAATTGAGTCTAGAGAGTGGGTAAGTAAACAAGATAATACGCCGCCGGCCAAATCCAACCATCCCAGCTCTTATCTAGACTGAACCCTTAGCTAATGGGAATTGAAAATTGACGATGGTCCGGTGGGATTGAATTCATTGATTGTTCTAGCTTACTGAAACCTCACAGAGCATAAGTTTTCTTTCCTTCTTTGTTGGCGTTGGGGGAACGATAGCTCTTCGAGCCTCTATGAAGTCGTGTGGTGCGTAAACCAATTTCGCCATAGCTATTTCTACCGTTGGTGATTTGAAGAGAACTGAGAGAAGCCTAAACACGACAGACTTAAAATCTGTTCCTACTCGTTATCGGTGTAGTAAATGAGAGTTCTTGACGTAAGAGGAAGAACTATGAGAAATAGTTGGTTATTTTATTACACTTGTATGCTTTTATAGTAGATGTTTCACAAAAGCTTATTATCTGCTTGTCCAAAACACGATGGATGGACCGAAGATCGTATGGACTGAAATGATTCTAAAAACTTGGTACGACAATATTCTTACTTAATTGATGGACAAATTTGTGTGTATAGTTCGAGATGCTCGCGTCTTTATCACAAGAGAAACTGTAAGGGAAGATCACGGGTTACGCAAATGTTCCCCATTAAAACAATCCAATTTACAACTATACCGCATATTTTGATCATAGGTCCAACATTAATTGCCATATTTAATTGATTATCAATATTGATTGAACCAACAAAGATTGTTTTGTACATGTGGGCTACTCAAAGTTATGAGGCATCTCTGACAACTTGGAATAATCGTTACCGCATTGGTATAGTAATGCGTGAGAAACTTTTGTGAAGGAATATGCTGAGACTTGAACGGGTTTGTCAATGCATACATTGTTAAGCGATGATCATCCCTGTGAGAAGATCATCTGAGTGGATGTCAAGGGGGCGACAAAACTAAGGTTGTCAACTAGTGTGGTCACATTACATTTTCTAGGTTTTTTGTCTCGGAACCCGAATAGATCAGATTACTTCACTGAATTAGCTATCATACTTTTCGTTAAGGGATTATAAAATATAAAATTTTATTGTGTTTTGTGAGTGTGTATTCGCCAACGTTTATCAACTCATCTAAAAACTTCATATGTCATGACGTCCATGAACTTTTGAGTTAGATAATCACTTACAATACACTACTCGATTTAGGAGTCAATGATCCGACACCATATGTGTAATTCAATTAGGGAAGGAAACTAATGAACTTTGCATAATATTTAATTAATTCAAAACAAAACGACTCATACTTCTTGTTGGGTCCAAGGAAGGATAGACCGACGCACGGACAAAAACAACTATCACCGACTTATCCTCATGATAAGATAGGATCTGAGTAGTCTGCCTGCGCAAGCGCCCGTGTATGACAGCAAGTCCGGTAACGGAGTCTGCAACATAACCGCTCGTCTGCATAAGCCCAACTGCAATATCGCTTCGTCAGGAAATGAGTGTAATTACCGGCCATTGAGTAGGATATGGCGGTGGAAACTCCCTTCTCGATCACTGACCGCGATAGCCTAAGGAACTCTGAGTATCGGACGTATTGGGAGAGGGAACAACTTAGGCGATGACGAAACTCACGGAATCCTGACTACCCCTGTCAGACTGAGAATGATTGACTGTGCGGGAGCGACTTCCAGTAGGCCACAAACCAGGATTCTCGGACTCTAGACAATCCTGACACCCGCAATAGACAGTAATATCTAACCCCAAACTTCGTCGCTATTACTACTCCTTTTCCTCCCTATTGTATCCTTCCCCTGTATCATCACCTAAACGTTGTTCCGTGGGACTCCATAGCTCGTTACTGGCCCCGCACACCGTGCCCGGAGTGTCAGCAATACAACGAGTATCGCGAAGCAGGGTTCATCCGACGAACCCACTCCGAAGCAGAGCTTCGGAAACACAGTCTCCGACTACGACCGTTCTCATCAGACTTTGAGATGTGCATTGGCCGACGGCGGTACATGCACTCTCAGAGAGATACTCATAGCGTTTCGCCTGTACATCAGATACGTCCCCGTCCCAGGCCACGAGATCGGCGATCGCCCCGATTCTGAGCTAAATCGAGACTCTTGCACTCCTACCCTTGAAACTTGACGCTGGAGATTCCAGTTCCGACCAGGGACTCCATCCCCACTTTCCTAAAATCCTTGGCACACCCCTCTTCGCACTTCCAGGCCCACTAACACTCCGAAACGGGAAGTCGTGCTGGGCGTGAGGTTGGTCGTCATAGCGCGGAGGCTGCCCTTAGTGTTTCGTTTTTAGACTGTTCTGGTGTGGAGGCTGCCCTTAGTGTTTCGTTTTTAGAAACACGTATTGTTGAACTATCTTAGGATTGAGGGAGAGGGATAATTGTTATCTGCGATGTATGGGAGTAAATTGGTGATTTTCTCTCCTTGTTTTTTTTTGGAAGTTTTGCCTTTTGATAAGTTGGTTTTCTTTGTAGTCAGTACAAGAATAGTTAGCTTGAAGGAGCAGCGGGAACACCAATGGTTGGATGATACGAGAGACCCGGTGAAAAGCAAACTAGAGTTGTATCCATTGGGTGCGTGGTGGGAAACCCGTCTCGGCAACAAAGGCTCTTTACAGTGTTCTGGATAGTGATGATGAGAGGGTATCCCTACAGCTTATTCTTCTATCGACAGCAGCACTACGGCCCTACGGGGGCAGTGCGAGTGTCATCGTTAGTGGTGGGAGCATTTGTCTATTGTAGTCATTATAAGAGTAGTTAGCACGAGGGAGCAGTGGTGGTGGGAGCATTTGTCTATTGTAGTCATTATAAGAGTAGTTAGCACGAGGGAGCAGTGGGAACACCAATGGTTGGACCAAATGAGAGACCCGGTGAAGAGCAAACTAGAGTTGTATCCATTGGGTGCGAGGTGGGAAACCCGACTAGGCAACAAAGGCTCTTTACAGTGTGGTTGGATAGTGATGATGGGAGGGTAACCCTACAGCTTTTTCCTCTTGCCCAGCTCCTGGTCTTTGAGCTGATAGGTAGTTTTAACTTGAGATGTACCAACCCATTGGGTGCGTGGTGAGAAACCCGTCTTGGCAAGCTCAGGCTCGTCACAGTGTTTCAGACACTGAGGGACGAGGGGACCACCATGTTCCTAGGGTCTATGGTAGTAGATTGGGTTGGTAATGGTTAATGTGTCTGGATTTATTTCGTTTGCGAATTCATTTTATGTTGCCAGTTTAGAATAAGCTAAACCGGGGGCATGGTCCCACTAGCAACCGGATAGGATAGAAAAGAGTTTGTGTGGCAGTTGAGTGACCCAAATCCTACCGTGCAGTACTGGTGATCCCACGGTCAGTATTGTGAGGTTCCCGGCCTCATCAATTGAATTTCGAAATATAAAAAAGAAAAAAAAAAATTACAATTCTGAATAAAGCACCTTCTTCCCCCGAATACAACGTGCGGTCATTATAGCTGTATCGAGACTGAAAGGTGCCTCAAATACAGCGATAATGACCGTCCGTTGTATTCGAGGGAAGGCAGGGCCAGTGAGTTCGACGATGATATGTCGAGGCCGTCGCCGCTGAAAAAAACAAAAAAAAAGGAGACCCGCGTTCTATTCGGTTCGGTCATGACTCTCTTTTCCTGTTTTTCCAGATGCGGATGATGACACCAGCCGGCATTGCGCATCTTCTTTTTGGTTCTTCCCTCCACCC